CTTGTTATCTCACGCAATATGCACACATGGACACCACTCATTTATAGCCATACTATTTCAGCTACAGCGTCAATCTATAAATAATCCCCTCCGCAATTAGCAGATCCTAAACCATAAGAAACAGCTGCATCATCTAAACTCTACTTGAAATGTAACTATTTTCCAGACCTCATAGCAAATAAATTACAATTTGCCTCTTACCTGGAGCAGAATTTGTCATCCACACATTTGGAATGACAAGTCCTTTTTAATAGCTCTATACAAAGTTATCATTGTGGATACACAGATGTTGCAATAATTACAAAGTAGCTTATATATGCCATTTGTGCTTAGCTAAGTTAGTCAGACAACCTGCATTGTTTCTGCCACTCAGGAATGCCGTTTCATATCAATGACCTAAGCTTTAAGCTGACAAATGCAGACACATGTAAACTTAGACAATCTGGGTGTACTTTCAACAAACAATATATATTATTATCAAATATAGTGTGTCCCCAAGATGGCCTGACATCTTTGATGTAAATATAAATGATATGCCACACTAGTGGAAACAGTTTCAACAAATTTGTCTGCAATAATTCTATGTTGTTGTCAACAAAATGTCAGCATGTAAATAGAGTTCTGTCACTTACAAACAAAACTATACCAACAAACAAAACAAGTACAAACACTTTGATTCACTAGTAGAGTCTGATGTTGTTTATTTTGCTGTTGGAGCAAAGTTATGCCAAAAACGATATTTGGCATTTACTAAATGGCTTTGTAGTTTCATGGTCTTCAAACCAACCTTTCATGGCATAAATGTTACTAAGTGTTATGTAGTCACTAAGTACACCCCTGGTACATTGAACCCCATCAGTAAAACTAACCCTTTCAGTGCTACATCAGATAGCAGAACAAGACACTGTTCTCCCCTATGGCACTAAAAATTAAGTAAAGTAAAGTTCTATATGCTCAACATATAATAAGAGAGAGAAAATTTGCTCTCTCCATTAAAATTTTAAATAACAATAAAAAATAAATAGGGTCCTCTGGGACCAAAAATATAGATAAGATGGGCCTACTGTATGGCCTTCCTTTTTTCTCAGCCTCATGGTCAATAAGATGGAGAGCAGTGGAGGAACTGAAGTAGAATGGGCACTGGTGCAAGAATTGCTTTGGTCCCCCTATAACAAGGATGGTCAAAAAGTAGATCCCCGTCTCCCACAATGATTTGCCAGCTCCAGATCTGTGCAGGGTTGTATTTAGCAGTGTTTGTGTGTTTAAATTCAAGCATATTTTTGTATGAAGTATGTGTGTAGTGTAATACTGACAATGTGTGATACTGTAGTGGCTAGGTCTATGGTACACAGGGTTCAGCGTGGCCGCAACGAGTTCGGAAGGGTTTTCGCTGGAGGCCTACCATAGCCCCTGTCCGCTATGAGAACCTTTAACCTATCCCCCTTTGGTTGCTTCATCTAACTGTGACAATAAAGCTTCACCCTTGCACGTGGTCCTTGGGATGGTTATGCTCAGTTAGGCCCTGGTGCGGGTGTTTCATTGCCTCTTAAGTCCTGGGTCTAAGTAATGGAATGTAGCACCGTCATATTTGCCCTCTGGATGCATCCCCCATCCCCATGTCTATGCAGGTGATGCGTTTCAGGGATGTGGCGCCAGTTTTCCACTACGTAGCATGCAGTCTGCTTCTGTGGACTCACTCCCACAGTAATTATGCACAAGTGTATTGTGCCCATGTATCTTTTAGTGTGAACAACGGTACTACGGGAGTCTACGCGATTCAAGCCCCACCCCCACTTCCTCCGCCCCCTGTGGAATGGACCAGAAAGAGAGAGAAAGAAAGAAGGGGGAGAAAATTTTTTAAATAAAATAATAATAAGGAAACAAAGAAATCTATCCTGGGTACGGGTAGATCCACTCTTCTATACCGCCTGTCACACTTACTCTCTTCACTCATCACTTTAAACCTGAGGCCCCTCTTGTCTGGCCATAAAATCCATGGGGCCAATGTCTGTGTGCACCGTTCTATAGTGTCCCTTTAATTAAACTTTATCTGCCTTATTTTGGAGTTAGGAGCTAGGAATGCATTAGAATTTTGTGCCTACAGGCACCTGACATGTAACTACAGTGATGCTGAGCAGGTATGCCATCTGTAACAATTGTCTGAATTGGTTAGGCTTGTCAGACAATGTCTTCTAGGGTAAACAAATGCATAATATATATTTTCAAGGACCTATCTAGATAGGCCCCTGACTACTATGATTTGTAAAATATTTATGTAATCAAACTTAACCTCACAGTATTCTAAGAATGTGATACTGTGTTGAATTACAATGTTATAATGAAGTGGTAAAATATTTTCTAAATATTACGTAATAAAACCTCTCTGTTGTACAAAAAATGTTCTCTGGACATCAAAGCACCTCCATTCGGGAATAAGTAAATGTCAATTAAATAAAATTCACAGTTAGCATTTTTCTATTGTTTCTATGTTCATTTTAAACCACTAAAAGGTTCTTTTTGAAAACATTAACAATGTTTCGGGAAATTTCAAACAGCTGCATTGAACAGCTGGGCCATTACTAAATACAGAAGCACAGATTGAAGGTTACATATACACATTTATGTTTTGTATAAAATGTCTAAGCATTTTTGTTACAACAAGTTATACAGGGGATGTGCCAGACTGCAGTGAGCCCGTCTTTTGTAATTCATTATGAAGATGACCCATTAAAATGTTATACAAACCAAATAAATTAAAGAAAAAGTAATATACTATACACCTTTCCCTTTATGGCTAATCCCCACCATTTGCACGTATCAGGTAGTGACTGATATTTCTAAATCCTGGTCCTTCCCTTGATTTCTGTGGGCATACTGTAGATATTCAATATTGCATATGTAGTCATTAGACATGGTTTTGACTTGGTTACGGAATATCTTCACTTTCATCAATGAATTTACCGACAAGTGCAAAACTGTGGTGCCCACTCTAATAGAAAAAGGCTCTGAGAGAGCCCATACAAGTTCATGAAAACTTATACAGCATGTGCACACCAAATGTGCACATGCTGGAGAAGATCTTGTATAGGCAGGAGAAAGAACTGCATTTTAGTCAGTTAAAAGGAATGGGATGAAAAGGGACCTGGAGTATCATGACCTGTTCAAGGAGGTTATGGTAGTTATGGTGCTTTAAGAGTTTCTGTCACTGCAAATAGACAAAAATATATGAACATTGTTAAATTACAGTGTGAAATGTTTATGATGAAACTGAAGAGGAGTCATGAGGGGAGGGGATAAAAACCTGCTAACAGTTTAATTGTATGCTTTCCTGAAGAAGTGAGTTTTCAATGATTTTTTGAAGGAGTGGAGACTGGGTGAAAGTCTAACAGAGAAGGGAAGGGAGTTCCACACAAAGGTGCAGCCCTCGACGGGACATACTTGTATATTAGGTAGATATAAGATGTGAGGGATTTAATTATTTTTAAAAGTAAGTTTTAAAAATGGAGGATGGTGGGAGGGAGGGGACCATGAAGCTTCCCTTTGCATGCCCGTGTTTTTTTTAATATTCTTAATAGTGCCTTGAGCAATGACTTGATATTTACTGTGGGATGGTGCCAGAGCATACCTTGCACCATAACTTCTACAGAAGGCCATAGTGGTTTTGGTGCTTTGCATTGTTCAAAACGTTAAATAGAGTCCACTTTTTGAAGCAGGCCCGGACTGGCCATCGGGCATACCGGGCAAATGCCCAGTGGGCCGCAATGGCCGTGGGCCGAGGCTGGCAGGGGAGATCACAGGATCTCCCCTGCCAGCCCCTGCAGGGCCAGCGCTACCCGAGTGCCGGCCCTGCTGTGTGCCTTCATAGGCCGGTGGGGAGATCAAAGATCTCCCTCACCGGCTCAAAGGCACTGTAACACTGCCGCTGGCTGGGGAAGGAGAGGAGAGAGGACCCGGTGGAGCTCAGGCCAGCAGCTCCACCGGGTTCCTCTTGCGGGATTCTGAGTGTTGCCGTGGTTACCACGGCAACGCTCAGATCTCTAGCGAGAGTGAACTCTAGCCCTGCAGGCAAGAGTTCACTATCACCACTGGACCACCAGGAAAGGCAGCACCGCATTCACCTCCATGGCATCACGGCTCCTCCCCCTCCCAGGCCAAAGGTAAGAAGGGAGGGGGGGATATAACATTTTTTTTTTTTTTAAATAAAATTTTTAAAGGGGGCGGGGCCTGACCGCCGAACGGATCAGACGTGTCTCGTCTGAGCTCCAGCGCCAGAGTCAAATTACCGGAGCCAGCTCCGTGCCACTTTCAGCCACTGACCTAAAAAGGTGCCCATAACATGCACGAGCACTGGACGAACACAGCGATACCGCTGCTGACCCAGCACGACATAGGAGCAACCCGACTGAAGCCCGAGGCCTAGCGAGCTTGAGCTGGAGAGAGACGGCCGCTCTCCCAGTTCTCTGACCGGCGTCTGGCTGTCCCTGTCCCCCCCCCTTTGGATCGGCGGGGGTTATCCCGGTCCTCACGGGCAACCACAAATTAGCACCATCAGGCCCAAACATCAACAATGCCACAGAGAAAAGGTCAGACAGCCCGACATAAGATGGCGGCCGTCCCACAGCCGCGTGTGCAGACACAGCATGGGCAGAGGCGGGAGGCAAACCAGCATAATATACTGCACCAACCTGCAAACTGCGACAGCATCTGGGACAAGCTAGCTGACTCCCTCTGGCAGCTAAAGGAAATGACTAACAAGTGGAGGATGAGCGGGCGGGAGCACTCAATATGGCACCAACGTGCAACCTCACCGGACAGGCCCACCCGGGCGGCAGACCTCCAGGGGATTACGCCCTGAGCATCACCCACCTGCCCAGAGGATCCGGCGCCACAGACAGCGACCTTCCATCAGGATCCACAGCAGCCCCTGACTAGGGAAGAACGCGGCCTCCCATGGGAATACCCGAGTCCACAGATGCTGGTCTCCGAGACCAGTGGGTGATCCCGCTTGGAGTGACTCCAGATCTCCCGATAACCCCAAGCCTACTACCCAGCCAGGACATTTGCTAACTCTGGACTTAACACTTACTACGAACTGCTGGCCTAGCCACCCGCACACACAGCCACTCCAGCCAGCAAACATGATCACACACATACTACAGCCTAACCGACAACTACCGATGAGTGAAAACACACAAACAGTGATACTACAACACCGACCGGGCAATAGCACACACTAGCTCTGACAGACATGCATACAGACCTCATACGGTGAGCAAACGTCGACGCCCCGTACAATCTCACACATAAAGAGCAGGTGCCCGTGGTAACCCAAGCTTGTAACCAACTAAGAAGCCCACTAGACAAACGAGCGACCTTACACTTAAGCGTACAAAGCCTGTAAACACTTAACTCCACGATGTACACACTTCTCAGAATACCATATCTGTACTCCACCTTTTACCTCACTGTAATCGTTAAGCGCTGCAGGAAATACCTTTGGGGAAAGCAATGCTAAGCTATATGGAAGCAAACGCTTATACTTACCTTACAGATGCATATGTTTGAATTATTAGAAAATTTAGCATAAAATCATATCTCTTCTCTTGACATAACGTTTCAGTTTTCTCCTGTCTTTAATATAAAAATGTGCTTTTAAATTGTATGCCATACCAAATTCATTGCTACTACCCAGCTTGCTATTGCTGTTGTGGCATCGCAAGAAAATGTTCACTGTCTTTTCATGCACAAGAAAAATAAAGAATTTAAAAAAAAATTACAAATTTTTTTTTTTTTTAAAGATATATATTTTATCAGACATTCACTTACAGTACACTCAGACACTCCTAGCACCCCCTTACACACACACACACACACACACACACAGCATCCTCATACACACACAGCACCCTCAGACACACGGCACCCTCATACACACAGCACCCTCATACACACACATCACCCTCATATATACACACAGCACCCTCAGACACACACGCAGCACCCTCAGACACACACATCACCCTCATAAATACACACAGCACCCTCAGACACACACACAGCACCCTCAGACACACACAGCACCCTCAGACATATGGCACCCTCATACACACAAATCACCCTCAGACACACAAATCACCCTCAGACACACACACAGCACCCTCACACACACACAGCACCATCAGACACACAGCACCCTCATAAACACACATCACCCTCATACATACACACAGCACCCTCACACACACAACACCCTCACACACACAGCACCCTCATACACACACAGCACACTCTCACACATATACAGCACAAACACACACACACACACACACATATATATATATATATATATATATGTATATATATCTATATATATATATATATATATAGTATAAATTAACCCTCAGTGAGTTAACAGACAAAGACAATCAGAATCATAGAATGTGACAGCAGATAAGAACACCCTCACACACACAGCACCCCTCTTACCCACACATACTGCACCTCTCACACACACATGCTGCACCCTTCACACATACACTCAACACATAATACGTGCCCCTCACACATACAATACGTCCAAACATAAAATATACACTCTGAATCCTCTATACATACACACACACTCTGGGTCATTTACACACTAGATCTCCTACAAACACACACTGCACCACCTACACATACTACATTCCTAACATACAAACTCTGGATCCCCCATGCACACGCTACATTCCTTTTAAGCAAACACATACAACATTCTCTAAACACACTCTCTACAACCCCTACACACACTTTGTCACCTATACACACACACACTCTCTACAGTCCCTAGCCACACATATTACACCACAAACACGAATGAAATTGACCTATTTACACAATACCATACCACAATCAGCTTACTCTACACCCACGCAATCCCACAAGCAGGCTCTAAACACATACACCATACGCTTTCCTGGCCCTTTTGTCCTCTGGTATCCCACTTATGGAGACACCAGAGACAAGTTAAAAGCCAACACAGCAGAAGCATGTTATTAAATTTGCTTGCGCTGCGCAGAACAAATACAGGGCCTTTTTCCCATGCTTGAGCTCTTCAGCAGAGCTCTGCGCATTAAACTAACATGCTCACTTTGAGAGGGGGCATGCTTGTCATTATTCATGACAAAACACAGCCTCCCTGGCCCTGCCCCCTTCTCAGGGGGGCCGCTGTGATTGAAAAATGCCCGGGCCGAATTTTTTTCCCATCCGGCCCTGATTTGAAGACATCTTTCTTCAGGACACACATATAAGCTTTGACTACAGTTCCAATTGTAATCTCTCTCATACAGAAGTTTAGTTACATCTGTTAAATGAAATTGATCAGAAAGCACCATCACTTGAAACCCAATTGTTGTTTTGAATTACATGAAGGTGAAATCAAGATTTAGTGCTTTTTAAAATGTTTGCCTTTTTGCTGCAGATCTGTTATTAATTGTGAATCTACTTAAAAGCCTGCTGACACCGGTGTAAAAGTGGTACTTTTATGCTCCAAAGTTTGTTATATGTTGGTATTGTATTCCCATAATATTGCAAGTCTGAAAATATTTGTGTTGTATATTTAGCAGCACAAAATGAGTTGTTTGTAGATATAATTGTGTGATAAAAAGAAAACCTGTGTTGTATGTTCTTTGACTTCTAGCCTTTCAAAAAGGGCAAATAAAATACATTTCATGGCCATAATTGTCAGAAGTAGAAGAATACATCTTCAATAAAACCCCAATAATAATAATAATAATAGTACGAACCTAGAAATGTGAAAAGAGTTATTTTCTGGGCAAAAGTAAACCAACAGTGTGTATACATAAGGTTCGGAACAGGCAGTGGATCTCCTGTATATTAACATGACATCGTAAGGAGTGTGCCCAACGTGCAGTTATCTTGGGGAGGAGGAATGATATAAAAATAATAAATTTAGGAAGTAAGGACGCCCATGCTATGTATGAATTAAATTATCTTTCATAAAAACGGAGACAGAGGACTAGACCTAAGACCTTGTTTATTTGCTATTTTACAAAGTATCAGTCCGAACACAGTTTGGAAATTGAGAGGGATGTTTTAGGCAGATAGTGTAGATACAGGAATTTTATTGTTGGATATATTATGCACTGTTGTCATAGGGATTCATTTGTCTGTCTTTAGAATAATAAAACATTCCTTCTTAAAAACAATTTATAGTCACAGGTGCTCTTTGACTGATCTGATCTTATTCTCATTTTTTGCCTGCCAGGGTGGCGTCAGACATTACTGTATTTTTTACAGTATTTGTGGTGTTTTGATTTTAACCAAATGTCACCTCATTTATCATTTAACTGAGTCTTGTCATCAAACCAAATTTTAACTGTCACATAGGGCATATCACTTACTTGCATTCGCCATATGCCATACACAATGGATATCTCAAGGACAGAAATTGCAAGCCTTTAAACCGCGTGAAAAAATCGATTGTCACGGTGTACTCGGTATGATGAATTTCTGACATTCCATGGAATAGAAAAGATTATATTCAAATCCAACAGATGAAATCCATGTAATAGCTTTTGCAGAAGGGATGACTTAATAGTTTTCTTTTACACACCAGAAAACCCTTTCAAAATAATTAAGGATATTTCTCATCAATTAGTGGTGGAACCTACTAGGTATGGAATTATATATGAAAGTGAGGCAATAAATCTCCTAACATACATTTTCTTCAATTTCATAGTTTTCTGCTGGGGTCAAAAGTCCCTTTTGCTATGCTTTTTAGAGCAGAACATCCATATAAATTGAATGTCAGATGATATAAATCTGGCTAAATATCTAAAATGATTGAGAAAAATACTACTACTTACTGGAACTTGCAGCACAGAAACAAACTCATATGTTAAAGGCATGTTCTAAGCTTCAAAACCACTACATGTAGTGATCTTGGTGAAAAGGTCCTGTCTCTGCAGTTGGACAAACATAAGTATTGCGGTGTGTGAGAAACAGCATTTAGTTATTAAAGGCAGGGCCAGACTGGTAAATAAAAGCAGCTCTGGAAGTATACAATTCTATCTATGTAAAATAGTATAAACGATAAGGTCTCTAGCAATTGTTTGTAGTGCATGTAGGCAGCTTGAACAACCCAAATGGATAGTATGGGTTTTGCTCAATCCTTATAGCTTAGCTGGTATGTTGGAATATGATGTCAGGATCTTCTGAATAAAATCTTCTGGATAAAACTAGGAAGGCCAAAATATAGTTAAAAGTAACTAAATTTATAAAAAAAAATAAAAAATAAAGATTAAAATCATAAAAGGGAAAAAACACTAATGCATTTTGATTGCAGGCTTTCTCAAAGTATGTAAGGATTGAGCAAAACTCATGTTTTCTCTCCACTAATGAGTATATCTCCTTGTATGATCTATATTTATTGTACTACAAAGAGCACTATGGATATTTGTATTCTTTTATAAATTATTAATATCCTGATGACCCTTTGCTGCTACACTACTGTGCACAGACAAGAGTAAATCCTGAATACCTTGACCTCGAGAGCTCACACCACACCAGCTACCAAAACAACTATCAACAGTAAGGACTCCCACACACAAGATAAAGTTATTTCACAGATCCATAGGTGGGGATTATACCCCCAAGCGCATATATTTGGAGCTAATAACTAGGTCCAAAAAAGTTCAAGTGCTTTTCCTTGTATTTATCTCACCAACTATCTGAAAATACTACACCATGTTTTGTTGTTGTCCTCTCTTTTGCATATTGAATTTCCTAATTGGATTTTGAGGATACTTCCCTCTGCCCCTTTTCCAATTCTATCTATATGTTGTGATGGTAATGTATAGATTGGGAGAAATAACTGTTTAAAAAAGCAGGTCTTTCTTCCACCTGTCAATCGGTTCTTTAGCATAGATTCGTATGCTGAAGAACTGAGAGACAGGGAGAGCAGGAAAGGACTCATGCAGGGAGTTCTCTTGCTCTCTTGGCATAGAAACCACAATGCAGGCAGTCACGAGACAGGACTGGTAGACCATCCTAAGCAAATTAAACCTCATTACACCACCAATGGTTTCTCCAGGTGTCCTAACCAAGGGTACATGTCCTCATATGGAGGATTAGTGCAGTAAGTGTTGCTTATGTCATCTGCGCAGGTCAGTGCACCTATATGTTTATGGATACTGGCGGAAACTGGGGAGGGCTTCCACACTCCCACACTC